TCGTTTTGTCAAGGTAGCAACTGCAATCACTACAAATCTTTCTTTGCTTCAGGAAATTGCAGTTAGTTGCTGACAGGAGTAAGGTTAAGCAGAGCAGGTCAATAAAATCAATCCACTTGAACAACTTTGATAAAAATGTCCTCAATCATACTTGGGAGACATCAATAACATAAAAAAAAAAGATTCTCATGAAATATTTCCAACGTAATATCTTCTCAACCTCTTCCAAGACAGTAAGAAACAACTAATGAATCAAAAGAAATTCAACCAACTTTGATAGCTATTGACTTTACAACCAAAGAACTGCTCTTCAAAATCAAAACTACTTCAATTTTTAATAAAAGAACTTCTTATCTCAAATGGGTTCTCGTGTTTAAGATTTTCTCAAGTAACTCGAGGCTAACGATTCGACAGTGAGACATAAACAGTCCAAGATTCCAAAGTACTACAACTGAGGCGACATAAAATCAATTAAACTATTTCAATGGAACATATGTGGAAAATTTTCATAAAAAAGCATCAGCCAAGCCACACCTGCAATAGAGAAGAACCTCGATCACGCAAGCTTGTTTGGCAAATGTAGAACTTTTCTTCAGACTCGAATGATTCTTAACAATCAAACGTTCACAAGAGAAATACATTATAGCCATTGATAGGCAATTTCTCAAGATGAATACCTTGATCTTTCAAGTGCTTTAAATAGTACTATTTTTGCGATTGCCATCCTTGTATAAAGTTTTATTGTCTTTCATTGAACCGAATGGATAAATTGAAGAAAACTTGCTGATAAACTTACAAGATTGAACTAACGTGGACTTTTGATTTCATTTTCATTGACCTGATAACTCAAAAAAAAGGCACTTGAAAAGGCCATTTGAATTCAGAGTCTTTTGAGTATTTGGGTAATTTGTATAAAGCACACAGTGCACACTTCAAGAATTTCGTAACCTTCTCTTTCAACGCTGTTGGCATTCACCTTCCCAATACTCGCAATGTATTTACTGCGTTAACGTCCCCACAGAGGTCTTCTTCTGTTTGGTTTTCTCATTTACTCTCTTTTAAGTATCTTCACTTTTCAATTATCCATGTTCTCTTGAATATTATATCTGCCATGAGGTCGCATTTATTGAACAGAAAAAATTTTCAAACACAATAGTCTTTATTCGTGTCGAATAGCCTCTGGAAAAATCCCACGAAACTTTACAAATGCAACCCATGGCACAGTCAACTTTGTTTACGCATTACTATGCATTTTTGCGGGAATCAAAGGATGGACCAATCGAAAATAATAGGGTGGAAAGAGAGCAATTACCATCATTGTAATGTACGCATAAGGAAGTTTTGGAGTTTCCTTATACATCCTTAATAAATGATATGGACGCAGTGGATCCTGATGATGATCTGAATGTCTCTGCAACTTGAACGTCAACAAGTTGGTCAACTTATAAGGGGCATCCCATGAGTGAGAAACATTAACTGGTTCATATCTTCCATTAGGAAGCTTATGTCGAATCAATCCATAGTGTTCAATGTAGTTGGCAAGTTGTAAAAGCGTGACAGCAACAAGGGCCTGAGTAAAATAGAAAACCATTGCTTTCCATCCAAGTAGGAAATAAAATAAGAAACCAGTGGAAGCGCTTACTATACTGTCAAATAAAACTTGGTTTCTGAGAAAAAGCGAAATACCAGAATAGCCTCTTCGTTTTAGCGACTTTGACTCAGTTTTCCAGGAATTTGTTACTACGCCTGATATGGAACGAAAAAAAAAGTGATAGAACGACTCATTCAACTTGGCAGTTGTCTTTAATATACAATATTAAGTTTTAGCGATAAATATTAAAGCAATATTCTTACCGGATCTTTATCGGTACCTACGTTCTTATGATGTCCATAATTGTGCTCGATTGCAAAGCTTCCATAGCAAGCTGACAGCAACAGACCTTTAGAAAAAAAAGAGCACAACCTGGACGGAATATGACCAAGTTCATGGGCACAAGCTATCCCTATGCCACTGCAAAGGCCAACAGCAATAGTGCTAGACAACCAATATGCAAAGGTAATATCACCATTGAGATATTTAGCAGCCTTTGTAATGAGAAAAAGTTCTGAAGGAAGCCATAATAAAAGAGGAAGTGTATATTGGAAATTGTATTTGTAAAATTTTTCGTCCTCTTCTGAAGGGTTCGTGTAGTCTTTACCTAGAAAGCTGTTAACTGAAATGAATACCCTGAGTTGAAAGCTTAGTTACCAAACATTAAGTCGAGTATAGGCACTAGCACAAAAACATACAAGGTACTGCACCATTTCCCATAACCAGAATGAAAGAAAAGACTACAATGGGCGCTGAAAGGAATAGAGTAAGCGATATAATAATAAGCTACAGTATACATCAAAAAAGCAAGACAAAGTACCAACCGCAAATTCACATTCAAATCAATCGGTACTTAGATTCATTCAAAGCAAACGTCAGATCGATTTCCTGAGTGATAGATATGCCAGAAGAGGGAGGGATCTCCGCCCAATCATCTTCCCAAACGTGGCGTAGAAAATGCGGATTGGGTTTTTTGACTCTCAACCGAATCTATTAAAAATCTTCTCCACAGAAAGAAGACAGCCATATTGGTTGTTCCTCTTCTAATAAAATTTTTCGTTCGCTCTCATTTGGGTTTCTCATTATGGGTTTCAGTCCTCTAGATCCAGTCGATGTACAAGCCGTACTCAAGGAAACAGCTTTATTAAGACTTTGGTATTAGATAAATCGACAAATGATTCAAAAACATTGTAGGAAGCGAGATACGTGGTAGAAACAACAATCTGCTTCACCAGAACCACTTCAAACTTCGAATGGAAATTGTCAGCAGGAGTGAGCTGCTTTCGTTCGAAACGACGAAATAGACAGCACGCAGAAAATGAGTTTTGTGCACCGACGGAGAACTCTATTGAATGCATTCTTTGAATAAGATAGGAGCCTTTCTACCTTCCAGATTTTCGGAACCTTCCTATACTACTAAATTCTGCTCCTCCATAAGTTTAAGCAGTTTTATCTGTTCTAGTTGATGTCGGATTTGGTATCACCTTAATTGCCTCGTAAAGCATAGCGACTTTGGATATAGCCGAAGAAGAAACTAAACAAAAGTTGCCTCAAAAACAAAAGTGCCTTGGTAACTTCTTGGTCACAACCATCGTCATGACGTTAAGACACATACTTCATGCGAGGCATTAACTTTTGGCTTCAATTACAACTTGCCAGAGGTAATTTCCACGTTGGACGCTGTCCCATAGCAGCCTACATTATCCAAAAGCTCCAAAATGAAAACCAAATGGGTTTCTAATGGATCAAAACCTAACTCTATAGCTCTTTAGGATCAATCCAAGACCTTCTTCCAAATTTTTATCCACACCATAAACCAAAAGAATGTAAATGTAGAAAATGAAATGCATCCTTCCAGTTTCTTTCTCTTGTATATTGTAAGAATAGATTTCCATTAATCATTCTTTGCAGTAACCGCATTAAACGCAGCTCCTCTCTTTCTGAATCAAATAAAAACGTTAATCTTTCTTTCCTGGCATTCTAAACATTTTAGTCAAAAACGTCCACTTTTGTTGTCGCTTCTTGATGGTTTCCAGCATAGTCTATTTTCCAGCTTCGACACATCCAGTTCCCAGAAGATAGCATTGAAATGGAAAGCTTCTAAGATAGAAAGTATTTAAAGAAGTTCTTCAAGGTCTCTACCCTTAAAGGTGCAGTTAAAATTTGGCCCGTTTTCTTATTCATACAAAAAAAGTTGAAAGTTCTGATTTTGCTTAGATCTTCACTGAGGATAAAGCTCTGCAGAAGTTTCGAATTTAGCAAAAAAAGCTAGGCACTGCTTACTTGCACCGCGTTGATGAAACTCTTCGGATTGAGGTAATAATTCCTGTGGAAACAGTTATTGTTGCCACTGAAAGACAAAGTGTGAGAAACACAAGATCATATAGAGAAAACAATCGGCTCGTAGCATCGGCTGATCCATCTGCTGCCAAGGACTGGAAGCTACAAAAAATAAAATATTTCGTTAGGAGTAGCATCTACTACAAGCTCTTTGTTTTGGCAGTTCTCAGGCTGCTCTTGCCAAGTGCCGCTATTCTTGAGACTTTTGGAAAAGCCAAAAGAGCTGAATTCGCTAGATAAAGTACACGCTTCTCCGAAATTGCTGAAGACGTTTCTAGTATCTCCTCCTATCCGGGTCCTCCTTCTTCCTTCTCGTTCTCCAAAACCAAGGAACACTGACCTTCAGGCTTTACATATCATTTTATTTTACTATGTTTTGAAAGCACTTTCGGAATTTTCGTTGCTCTTACTGGAGACATTGTAAACGGAAAGCTCGAATCAAACGAGAGCAGCTTCGAGTGCTGTTTGATAAAGACAGTTCTTCCTGTGTTCTGCTCCTCAACTATCTTTGGCCTACCTATACTAAGTACAACGAATTCCGAAAGAACTTACTTGAAGTATGCTCTGTAGAGATGGAGAGTATAGTAGTTATGATGCAGTCTCCTCGCACGTGAATCAAACCTGAACGTGCAAGAATCTTTAACCCATTGCATTCATTTGCATTGTTGCAAGATGGAATGAGGTGGTGGAGAGCTAACAAGTTTTTCAAACCAGTTTAAGTGTTAATTATTCACCCTAAATAATACTGTATGTTGATCATTTCAAATGAGGACCAGTGAAAATGTATCCAATGGCTTCAATTATTCTAGTCGTTGTTATTCTTCTGGCTATAGTGTTTGAGATTTTTTGGTTCTTCTTACATGGTTATTCTTTCTGAAGGGAAAAAACTTTCTTGGCAAACCGATATTATAGTGTTTATGGAATGCTTTCAATTTTTGACATGATCAACACTCTAAAAATTTGGTCATTCCCATTTTACAAAAAAAGATGACATAATTGCTGTTTCTAGTGTTTGGGAATAGCTTATTTTTGTTCTTTAGTAAATATCAATTGAGAGTCTGAGAAGTTCTCAAAATAGTTCTTTCAAGAACCGTCATGAGTTGGGCTATTTTATGAGACACTGCCAAAAGACTTTTTGAAATTCGAGACAGAAATCATTCGCTTTATCACATTGGCTTAATTTGAATGTTATATACGCTATTTTTAAATCCTCTGTAAACTATAAATTTAACTTATTATGCAAAGCTGGACTCTGTCCTTAAAATTTTTGTATATTTCTAGTGAAAATGAGTTGGGTTCGATTAACTTATTCTTCAAAACTTGGGAACTTGATGCTATATATGTACATGTTTGTTTTCAATATGCTTTTCCTTTTTACAGAAAGAGTATCATGTTGCTCGCTTTCATTCTGAATTGCTAGTTGAAGATGGCTCTACAATTCCAAGACCATTTTTCAAAACGTTTTTACAAAGTGAAGAATTATTTCTTTCAACAAGACCAAACTTCTGTGGATCAGATGTTCTTATTCGAGTTGCACAAATTAGAGAAAAACCATTGACTTTATATCGACGGAAGTAATGGGCATTGAAAGGAATAATATTTATCGAAATGGCTTGGCCATGCAATGCTAAAATCTCTCGAGTTCTGGAATAGTTCGTCCTATAAATGAGGTACAAAGTAAGACGTTCATCAATCTAGAAGTATTAGAGCTTGAATTCAAGAAGAACCGTATTACAGCGACTTGGTTGATTATGAGTAACGAGTCTGATGCAATTACTTTGAATATCTGAGGGAGCATTCAAATTGCGTTGGCTGTCAAACACAGAAGTTATTATGAAGACAAACAAAGAATTATATTTGATATTCCTCATAATTGTTTTGAAGAAAACCTAAAAAATGTAAGGAAACCACTATTTCGAAATCAAAAAGTAATTCTTGTTTTGTTTTTTAACTTTTTCGTAACATCGTCGTCTCTGTTGGATTACAATATGGATGTTTAAGCTTTTCTTCGCAACCATTAAGTGTAGTGTGATCAAAATTTCTTTATCCTTTAAATATTCAAGAATATTTTCTTCCATTTCCCAGACCATAAGTGTTTTCTGTTCCCGAGAACGAAAATTTCAAAGGTTGACATACACAATATTCTACTGACTGCTCCAAAGGACTAACCTTTTACTCCTACCAAATGAAGTTTATTCTCTTCTTTGAGGCTCTTCACTTCATTTATCACCTTTTGACACTGAGCAAGTTCATTTTAATCAATTCCTTTAAGGGTTGTAACAGGTATTTCAATATTTTACTATGACAACCTATCTTCTAAAAAAACTGTTTCTTCTTTATAATACATAGCGTCTTAGTTCTCACTGTTGAACTCCAGCTTTCATTTCAACTGTATTTGTTCTGGTCAGATTTGTGTTTTGATCAAAGCTCCACTTTCAATTCTTATCCGAAGCACTGCAAAGATGGTTAAAATTGCAATAACTCCTAATTGTTATCGATATTGGAAAAACGTGCTAATTATTTGACATTATATAAGATCCGATAGGAAATTGTATAGATTTGGCGATATATGAAGCACCAAAGAAGACGAAGAGTTTCCCAAAGGAATAGATTCGTGAATGGAATTTTGTTTAGTACAATGTACAGGGCTCAAGACAGTAGCTTTGGCTACTGTTTAGACTTGCTAAGGTATGTGCTTCTAGCTAGGATATGTTACGATGATTTCCAAAGTATACTTTAGACGATATGACCACGATCAGTTTTTGGTAAATCTTGTGCAACCTAATACGCATAGAAGAGCACATGCAGCGATAAGGGCGTTCAACGTTGAGTTGACCAGAAGTAAGAAGAGATGGGTTTTTGCTTATATTTTTTATTTCCTTTTGTCCTTTTAGTTCGCCAAATTGTAACTAATGAGGATCTGGGCCGACTGCGCGTAACTTTTTTTCGAGAGGCTTTGGAAAGGGCCTTTGCGGCAACACCTGATAAACAACCAGTGTTGGATCTGCTGTCCGAAGCAATAGTCCAGTTTGGCTTATCGAAGAAATGGTTTGAACGTTTGTTATCTGCAAGAGTGAGAGAGCTACTCGCAACTTGTATGTAGTTTATAACAGCCCATAAATAGGAAGCAGATTTATCGTTACCCAACTTTCAGACCATTCAAGAAGTGGAGCACTTTACCGAGTCGACACAATCTTCGTTACTATATGCTTATTTAGAAACATTTGGAAAGCGACAATTGTCTTTGCCGGTGTATCAAGCGGCTAGTCATTTGGGACAAGCGCTAGGTCTTACAATTCTTCTTCGTGGAACAAGGCATCATATTGAATCACGTTTGTGTTATTTTCCAAAGGAATGGATTCAAAAGGCAAGTAGTGCAAAGTTGCCTTTTCTTTCTCTGAGGTTGTGTTAGTATCGAGTGGATTTGCCTCTACACTATCGTGGACTGTGGAAGGAATCCAATAGTATCGGTATGTTACAAGAAATGAGTGAACTAGCGTCATATCATATAGCAACGGCTCGTCAATATGTTGGTGATATTCCACCCTTGTTATTTCCAGCTTTTCTTAGTTCAACCATTGTCGATGTATATTTAGCAAAGATAAGACGTTATCACTATCAAATGCTCGATCCTCGTGTAGAATTTGCTGCCAAACTTGGATTGAAATTATTATGGAATAAGTGGAGGAGGCGTTTCTGAAGTTATCGAATTAGGGTAGGAGAATGTTTGAATACTGCTGTCGTAGATAGAAATGCAGATGATGGCAAAGGAAAAGTCTCTTTTTATGACAATGCAACTCAAGAAATTGTAAAGTGTTTATTAGATATCCATTTCACTAGTTGAGATAAAACAATAACGCATCGATATACACCCAAACAATGGACCATTGCCATTTCAAAACATTATTTGCCGAGGCGTTTGCTTAATTCTCAGTGTCGATTGATATATCAAAGTCTTTCATCTTTTCGCACGCTTCTGTGACATATTCTTATTTTCTTCAGGTCTATTTCTTTTCATAGACTGTTGCATTTGTTGAAAGAATTCTATTTGAGCTTTTTGTACAGAAGGATGAATGGGAAAGGGTATGGCTGTTTGAGTACAATGGTTGTTGATGAAGAAAGAAGCAGCATCGACGCCATATGCTTGCTGTCCCATAGTTGAAGAAAGATTCTGGATAGCTTGTTGATGATTAGGGTTGGCATTTATGGGCATATTTGCTTCAAGAATATAATGTTGAGTATTGACCCCTGCCGAATGAAAACTATTTCGGACGGAACTAGGTATCTCGCTTTTACGTGTTGCTCTATTCCAAGAATCTTCTTTAGAGAGTCTATAAGATATCATTTTTTTGGCCAAAAATCCCAAAGGACCAAACCAAGCAGCTTTCCATCCTGTTTGTCCATCTATAATGGAATACCTTTCACGTTGTTCCAATTGAGGTAATGGGTAGTTAGCATTCGGTAATACTCGAGGTAAATGTTCTTGTTTCATAGCAGGTAAATAATAATATGCCTAGATTGGCTTAATGTGAATTCATTTCTCTCAATCAAAACTTGTGTACCTGAATCACTGTGGGACTAGCCACATCCATTCGTGTCAGTCTACCAAACAAATTCAAATTTCCTCGAATCTTTTCAGATGCTGCAGCTGCACTAGCACGATGACTGGAATCCTTTGGTGTAGATAATTGTGAAATAAACTGACCCAATAAAGTACTCTTATGGGTAGCTAAAATAGTTTCTCCGATGGAGTTGCGTTCTCTTTCTTCCAATGTGAAGCTTTCTTCAGCGTTCCGTACAGCATTCTAAGTAATACATTCATATAAAATGGGAACTTTTTTGAAAGAAAAAACAACAGTACCTCTAATAAAAAGGCATCTACAAAAGGTAAAAGAGCCACTCCTTGCCAAACAAATCGTTTTCCTTCCAAATCGATAACAAAGTCATCGGGATAAAAAGGCTTTAGTTCTGAATGAGGATCCATCATCAATTGGGTTAGAGATTTTGGTAATACTTCTTTGGCACTTGAAGGAGGTAATACTGCCATTAACTGTTCAAGAGGTCTAAATGGCTTTCCTCTTTCGTATTGAACACTGCAGTAATACATTTATGAGAAACATATTTGCCTCATTACAACGATAAAAACTCACCTATCCGCTTCAAAAGGACAAGCAGCTAAATCACTGGCAAAAGGAGCATAATGATAAGGAAAGTACCTAATTTCTTATTATAAAGTAAATACAAAATAACAAGCAACAAACCATGTCCAACTAACACATCCGCGATAATAGTAACGCATCACCCATAATAAGCCTTCAAAATACTTGTAAGCCAATTCTTCTCTCTTTCGTTGACTTGTTTCCGACTGAGGACTCCAATGGAACTTCTTTTCATAATATCTTTCTTTCCAACCTTGTTCTCCTAATCGAACTACATCTTCGACAGAATCAACGACCCTCTTTTTATATAAACGTTCTTTTAACTCCTTTTCGAACTGTTCCTTGACTTGTTGATCACTCAACTCTAACATGTATTCAACTTGAGAAAGCTCCTCCTCTTCCTCTTCTTCTTCTTCTTCAACATCAACATCATTCAATACTATTTGTTCTGATGTGGATTGTTCCATATTCGCAACATCCATTTGTTTGTTGCTGCTTGCTTGTTCTGAGGAGTCTTGAGTTTTTAAACGCTTTTTTAAAGACTCTGCAACGGCAAAGTTAAGTGAATCTCTTGTTTCCTTCAAGTTAGCATCATCTTCAGCCTTTCTGTTTTCATAATCCTTGTAAAAGATTCAACATATAATACCAATAAGCTGATTTTCCGACATTTACCTCTCGAGTTCTCGACAACTTTGTTCTATCATTCTGTACCTAAGCTATTTAACAAAAT